TTGCCTAACATTATACCGGTATTACCGTGAACGGTATAATATGGCCCAGCCCTAGACAGCAGTGACTGAGCCATTTCTTTCTTTCTTGTTTTGACTGTTTTGAGCCACCGTAGCCCACAAGAAGAGTGGACAAATAAAAGACACGTTACTGGTTTCCTATCTAAAATAACTGGTTAGATTATTAAGAGTGCAAAATGTTTACAGTGCTCATTATAATAAGAGGTTTTGCTGTAAAAGCAGTTCTAGTTTTTCCTATGCTGACAGGTGAGCAGTGTCACATGCTGAGAAAACACACACAACTTAAGTAAAACATGAACACACAGGATGGTTTTCAGCTGCCGAGCGGGAACATAGTGTTCCACAGTGGGAGCTGAAAGTAATAGAAGGCTTTGTTTGAAGTGACCAACACATATTTCACTGCTGACAGCGTGAATTCCTGAACAAATCAGAAGCTGAAATTATCACGAGAAACCGTTCTTTGTTTCATTAGAGACTGAACAGACTCAACAAAGTGGGTGGAAAAAAGCAACGGCCGGGTAAGATCGTGAGATTTCTTGTTTCTTGTACTCTTGAGTTTCACATGAAGGGGACGCTGCCTCACTTCAGCACCACGGTATCAAGGGAGCACGATGTGAATTATTCAGAAGGGCCAAGGGAAGTGTGCAGTTATTCAGAGCTGGGAGCAGCTTCTAGCTTGGGACACAATGGAATATCTGTGTCAGTCCTTTCCCAGCATCAGCTCTTCTCTGAGCAGAAGTGAGGCGGTCTACAAGTGTGTCAAAGTGTGTTTGGGTGTATATCGGTATTGGTATACATAAAGGTGGTGCATTCATTTCAACTGGCTCGTTGAAAGCTAAAAAAAAAAAAAGCTGCATCCTGCTGACTTTTAGGTAGATAAATATTAGCATTTCACTTATTCAGCTAGAATATTTTTCTGAAAAGTACCAGTCTTCCCTTTTAGCTGACTAAACTTGGGAGTTTCACTGCATACTTTGGTATTGTGCCTCCATCTTCTACATATAATACACAAACAGGACACTGAGCTCACAAAAGCTTTTCATCCATTACTCTGAACGCTGTCTAGAGGGCCTTTCCTGGCAGAGAGGAAGTGACACATTTGTGTCGGAGCCTGCAGTTACTCTTTACAAAACAACTGTAGCACAAAAAACAAGCAGCTTCTTTTCGTCCCTGAAAACAAAACCTGAGTGGACAAAAGCTCCGGCAAACTACATCATCATCTGTCATGCCCACCTTCTTCTTCCGCCGCTTGCCCAGGTTCTGCTTTGCAGCCAGCGAGCGGATGGCGCTGACCCACGGCTCGGCCATGCGTTTGATTCTCAGCATCATCCAGCGGAACTCCTCCCGTTGTGACATCATCCGGTAAAGCTCCTCGAAACTGGTCCGGATCTCCGCCTGTGTGGAAACGTGGACACAAGTACAGCGACTGTAATCTGATAACGTGTGCGTGTTGGTCCACAGAAAACATGAATATCAACTTCTTTAAAATCTCTCATCAAGACAGTGATTATGTTCACTTTGTTATCTGCTTCACTTGTGTTTCTTCATGGCTGCTTGGTTCTCCTGCTGCAAGAAAATCCCAAAGCAATCTTTAAAATTTTATCTAATGTAATTCAGAATTTGCAATATTGCCTTCCAAGTTGCCAAAGGCTTGTTTTCTTGGAGTGAGCTCCACTAATACAAGATCCCCAGCTCAACCCCAGCACTGTGTAGCTACGATTAAAAGGTTTATCCAAAGTGACTGAGTCTCGCATTGTATCTCCTTGGATCGGCAGATGGATTAAACGGATGGAGACAGAAAGGCGGAGCTGGTCTGCGGAATAGGGGGGTGGATGAATGACTGGTGAATCTGGGCTTTAATGTGCCCTATTTGTCCTTTTTTTTTTTTTTAAAAGAAACAAAAATCTTATACAGTGAGTTATAAGTACATATAGTGAATTGAGAAAGCACTATACTGTAGTTATGGTTACGGGAACATCAGGTGCTGAAACATTTGGAGCGCCAAGTGCTCCCTGTTACAAACAAATGTCTAAAGGGAGAAGAGGAAGAAGGCTTAACTGTGCAGGGTTTGATGATTCCCACAGAAGAGACATAAAAAGCACAAAGAAGGATCACTGCTACTTTTTTTCTGGGGGCACAGATTTCAAGAGACGGGACATCGTCATCAACTAAATGTTTAATAAAAAGGTTGTGAAGCAAAGCGGCTCATGCTGTGAAAAGTCTATCTGCATGTTAGTAATCTTGCCTCTGTTGTGAGACTGCTGACTAACTGCTAGTCAAGCTGAAGGATAGAAATAAACGTGAGGTCACAGACGGCCACGGAAAGGGAAATAGTGTAAACACATTCAAATATCACCCCGTCTCATCTGAATATGACGCTGAGCAGAGTAATGTGCTTTGTCACATCTCCCTCCGCTCTCATCTTTCTTTCCCTTTTCCCTCTTAACCCTCAACCAGTTACAGCAGATGGCTGCCCCTCCCTGAGCCTGGATCTGCAGGAAGTTTCTTCCTGTTAGAAGCCAGTTTTTCCTTCCCACTGTCGCCAAGTGCTGGTTTTCTCCAGAACGCTGAAGGGTCTTTCCCTTCCAGTATAAAGTGCCTTCAGGCGACTGTTGTTATAATTAGGTGCGATATAAACAAACCTGAATATAATTTTTAGGAAAAGAAGTGAAGCTGTGAGTGAGGAGGCACTAGTGGGAGAAAGATAGAGTGCTAAGGAGAAACCACAGTACCATTACTAGCTGCTAAGGTGGCTGAAACAAGGTTGTAGCGAGGCATTAGCATTCCTCATCACGACAGGAAATCGCTTGCACGGATTGAAGCTATTAAAATCTGTGCCTGAATTAAAAACTCCAAAGCCTGTCAAATGGCATGTCCCCGCTACTGATGGGTCAGTGCTGTTGATGCTTCCAGAGAGGGGGATGAAGAGCGCTTAATATCGATTCACCCAAAGCAGAGGAAAAGACAGGGGGAGGGGGAAGATACAGTAGACTTTGTACAAGCCAGCAAGCAAGCTCTGTAAGTGGGATTTGACTGAGCTACCGCATTGGCACAGATGCAAGATCATTATTTCAGATTTGACCCATGGTTCCATCACTCCGGCTTTCGTCTTCTAGAGGCTAAACATACCTCGATAGCATAAGCTATCATAAGCTATCGAGGTATGTTTACAGTTCAGCTCAGCCCGTTTGCTCATTCGCTGGCTCGATTTTACTTTGATTGGTTGTAAAGGCAGCTTGAAAAGCAAACATTTTAAAATGTTAGCTATTGGTGGACAGTTTTTATTGTTATGAGACTTGCTTTCACCTGACTACCAGTTCATAGTATTTTAATGTATATTACTGTCTGCTCTGCAGTTAACACTAAGCAACTGATATACAGTGCTGAAGAGAAAAAAAGCATTTGCCTGCTTCCCGATTCCCTGTTTTTTGCATATGTATCACACTTATACATTTGACCACATGTGTGCTTAATTTTACTAGCCATTCATTTCAATAGAGCCTATCTGACAAAATGAGGTCAGCTAAAAGGAACAGATCATCAGTATTGGTTCAGTAACTTGCCTGAGAGTACTTCGGCAACCATGCTGGAGCAGCCAGCGATCAAACTGCCAACGTTCTGTTTAACCGATGACCTGCTCTACCTCCATACAGAAACCCCTTATTTCTTAAAATGAAATATCCTATAAATGAAGCATAATGGAGTAGGTCTAAACATGTAAGGAAAATTTATCCTAATGATAAAACTTGCCATCACGCATACAAGCATCCATGAAATCCATTCAGTTAAATGGACCACAGCTATGGCATCTGTGTTGTAATGCGACACCCGAACAACCCCGGCATAACGGTGCCTAATAGATATAGGCCGACCAAGTAGATTTTTTTTAATAGTGAGCAACTGCAACTGGTTACTCTCACACAAGCCTATTTTTATAACAACACGAGGGGTTAGTAGCGAGGGGAGACTATTATCTCTCCTGTCTGAGCAGTAGCTCGTGATGTGAGAGCCTCTGAAAGGTTCATCTCGAAGGGCAGCTGAAGTAGTTCAACGGTCCATTGTGTTTTCAGTTTACAGTTAACAGGAGATGTGTGCTGTTTTTCTCTCACCTGGCCTCTCTGGTCCATTTCTTCATTCAGGGTCTTGGCTCGCCAGGGCAGACGAGGACACCAGTTCTCCACCTACGGAAGAAGCCCAAAACACCTATTCAGTTTACAGCTTTGTTTTTTTTAACCTTTTATCAGACATCCACCGGAACCGTGAGACAGACACACACACACACACACACACACACACACACACACACACACACACACACACACACACACACACACACACACACAGAAGTGTCAATATACAAACTTTGAGTACATTAGCACAACTCTTCACTTTACTAGAGATGTAAATGGACCCTGCTGCTGTTCACTGTTGCTAAACTTGGCCTACTAAATGCCAAGAAGCAACTGCAGGAATCCTCTCAAGTTCATATATATGTGATTAGATAACACTTTTCTTCAGCTCTTTGCATTAGACAGCAACTCAAGACAATTTAAAATACTCCTCTTACTTAGAAAGCATTTAATGGATTGGCTGTACGTTTCCGGCATCATTACTGCTTTACATTCTCGACATGACGCTTTTGCTACTGTTCCTCCATTTTTAGAGGTAGAAGCTTTGGCCTTCAAGCTCAACTTCTTCAGGGAAAAAAAATTCAATAAACAAAGGGTTAAACAGCAGGTGGGTGTGGCTTCTGTGTTTACGCCAACAACTGTCTGAACATATGAAGCAGATACAACTGCTTCATATGCAGGTACGCTGGTGTGATCTGGGTGGTAAATTCTAGCTTGCAGATGAGTGGCTCCTGTTTGATGACATATATATGTTAACACCTCAGGGCAGGGATTTGGTCTTCTTCATCCAAAACAGCCACATCTTGCTGTACGCTGTGTTCGTGAGCCGCTGTTTATTTTAATGATGTCTTCCTGTTTATTTTAGCTAGGGAGATATGTTCTAGTTTTTTGGTTTGGTACTTGATAATATATGAGGGCCATTGAAGGTTTAAAAATATTAATAAAAATAATGAATTAAGGGGGGGAAAAGCAAGAAAAACCCCATAAATGTAAAAGACTAATGGCCAAACTTGTGAGGACAAAAAACAAGACTTTATAAGGAAAAAAATCTTAAACTTAAAAAGAACAAATTCACAAGTTTATGAGAAAAGATTCTAAAATTTAGAATTGTGTTTTAATCATGTAGATTTACGACTTGTTGGATGACTGTTTTTTTGGGTGCGTGTGCGTCCCATATGACCCTTATGGACTATTGATTTGTTTGTTGTTTTGGCCCACTTCAATCTACTTTTTAACTCCTCCAGCTTTGTAAATTTACTTTCATACAAACACAACATATATCAACATATCAAGGAGTTGTCCCTGTGGCTGTTTGGGGAAGAGGACTGGTTTTCGTGCTGTGTCTCTGCCCTCCATAGACGAGGGAATAGTACCCAACTGTTAACGCTAGAGCAACACACGGGTCTGTAGGTAGGTGAAGGTGGGACACAGCCACACAGCTGAGGATTTGCCTGATGCTGAACAACTGCCACTCTGACTGCAGTCTCCATATTCCATCCTGTTCGTACGCCTGATTTAAATCACTTCTTCTTTCTCAGCAATTGCTTCTGCAGTTCCTTCCTCTTCATCCGTTTGTACATACAGATGTTTATGGAGAAGTGAAGTTTAATTATGCATTTTGCTTGTCTTGGCAAAATTTGGCTCTGTACAAGTTGCGAGTGTTTACTGTCAATCAGCAACACACCACCATTAGCTAAACCCTGACCTTCTCCCGCTGACATCCATCAGGATGCGCTGCCCCTTTGCAAGGTTAATGCAGCGCTTGACACGTATGAATTATACATGGTAAAGGGTGTATGATCTGAGCTTGAATTTTTTTTCCTCTTAGCTAAGAAGAACTGTAAGACTAGTGGTGAAGAGTGAAGGATGTTAGCTTAGCAGAGAGTCTTTATAAATTCTGACAAATATTTCTGTTTGCTTCCTGCTTCCATGAATAGAAAGACGAGGTTTCTCTCAAACCTAATGGATTCCACTAATGTCCATCTCGCTTCTATTCCCATACCGACCAAGCCAGCTTTCTGCCTTCTTTACCAGTCGACCGCTTTCAGCTCATATATAAAATTCATAAGAGGCTGCTGACCTCTCTGAATCTGAAATCCTACTTTTCCCAAAAATATAATGCCTCAAAACAAAACAAACATGGAAGAGCTCTCTAGTTGAAGCTCAATTTCCAACTTTAGAATTAGTTGATGAAACAAATTTAAGGAAAACTCGTCCAAGAGAAACGAAAGGCTCGCTGATCAAACGTAATCAGCTGCTGTGATCTGCGGAAGATCTTTGAAATGAGACATCAGAGCGGAAGTTTTATGTGAAGCAAAGCTGGGTTTTTTTTAGGGTTTTTTTGGGGGGGGGGAATTAGAATTAAGGAAAAGATTATCTCTGTCGCTACAAAACGAGTACATCTCCGTGTTTGGGGCAAAGATAAATCATACAAAAAATTGAAGGTCTGAAAGTGTCCCTTGAAGGAACTCGTCAATAATGAATAATCCCTCCACCGTGGCTTTTTCCCCCTATTTGCCGGGACTGAAGTGAAGTCATTCTGAATCTCTTTTCATATGCTGCAAACTCATCCCTTGAAGGAGTGCCTCGCACATTACCACATCACCCCCCTCCCCACTCCCCAGCTTCCCACTGAATCATCTCCTCGTTCTCCCTCACCGTCCTCCTCAACACACTAATTTGCTCTCATGAAAAATGAAATCCCCCTTTTACCTCTACTTATTTTTAGCACTTCATTCTTTTGTGATCACTCTCAGTTTGCAGGAATGTTGTCAGGCCACTCTGGGTATGCAGTATCCATTTTTTTACTGGTTGTCTGAGGTTTTTTTGCAGCTCTTATCGTACTTATTGAATCCAAAGAGAACAAACCCAAAGCACAAACCAAAAATATACCGCAGAAAGAGACCATGCAAGCAGCGGGAAAATAGATCAAGCAACTGCAGGTTTCTGAAAAGAATGTAAGACTCTTCATTTTTCGAATATATGCAAAAAACAAGAATGTTTCATCACAACGTTCTTCTGCTTTTAAGGGAACCTGTTATGCGTTTCCTTATTTTACGCAATGCCAAGCAAATCCTATTTGATACATGAGCTTTTGAGACCTCTACATCATTGTGATTTTTATGACTTTTTGAGACATATATACAATAATAGTAATAATACATATAGGGCTGGGCGATAT